GCCGTGCTGCCACGAGGCCAAGCTCCCCATCATCTGCACTATCATCACACTGACCTACAGGCTCCTATAACTCCCCATTCCCCCCGTATGTTCTCCCTTCAAGCTTCCACACCTGACAGCCTTGCCTAAGAAAAGGAGTGCAGCCCAGAGAGCCTCCTTGCAGCTCCCCAACTCCTGCTGCCCGTTCACGTAACTTGGTTCGAGGGCTTTCTCTACCGTTGACCCCTTTCAAAGCTTGCCAGCCAGCCAGCCAACCACCTCTCTCCCCCTCTCTCTTCTTAAGTGGCAGTTGTTGGGTAGTGTTTGCAAAAGGACTGAAAGATAATAGAGGCAGGTTAGCCGGTTCCTCCCATTGATATTCCAATGGGCAAGGAGAAGCGTTTTTAAGGGGAAGACCTCGGGGAGTGCAAGTAGGATAGCAATAAATAGTTTGGCTACATATAAAGACCTCCATCCACATAGCTAATGTTTATGTACTGTGAAATAATAACAGCCTTCTCAAAGCATCCCGCTGCTGTTTTTGTGGTGTGTAAATAGGGCATCATCTGGATGAGCCACATGGGTGGAAGTTTTTACATGTACCTAGACAAGCTTGGGAAGAGCAGTTTACTAGGTATCCTGGACCAAAGTTGTCCTGAGCTTGGCTTGGTAGCTATGCCACAGGGTTCTTGGGAGGACAAAATGTGGTGTGGCAGAACCTTGTATGTCTCCCATCCCCCCCCCATCTCTCCCTCCCTCCCTTCCTTCCTCTTTCTCAGTGTGGGGTGGGGCCAGCAGTGCGTCTGCATGGCATCTGTGTGTGTAACTGAGTGTGTTGAGTGTGCATGTGCAAGAGTGTGAAGGTGATGTGGTGGTGGTGGTGGCACATGAGCTGCTGCAAATGTGTCCTCTTTTTTGCTCTTCAAAAATACGGCAAAGTGGTTTGCTCCCTCCACATTTTATCCTCACAACAACCCTGTGAGGTAGGGAACTGTGAGGCTGGGGAACTGTGACTAGCCCAAGATTGTCTGTCTTCATAGCTGAACATTGATTTGAACCCAGATCTCCTAGGTCCCACTCCAACACTCTAACCACTACAGGTCCACTAGTTGTGAATCGTCTGAGCTTCTGTGAAAATTTGCTCTAACTTGCCCCTTCCTTGGATTTAAATGCAAGCAACAAAACAAAACATACACATGCACGCACGAAAGCACTATAGCATTCTGTTTTTCCATTCACATCAAATTACATCTTGTTGCAAATTTAACATCAATGGAATGATATGAAAGACATCTAGACACATCTGCTACCTCTGATTAGGCAGCCAAGAACAAGGTTTGTCACTCAAAGTTTCCCCCTCAGTCTGGTTTTAAGGGATCTTTCATCAGAAAGTTCAAGTATGGGAAGGGCTCGTGACATTAAAACGTCCTTCACAGAAGAAAAGGAAGAAAATATGCTATTCCAATATTGCAGGGGGAGGGGGGGAGAGAAAGAGAGATTGAAACATCTTAAAATCTGAATTCAACCCAAATGTGTTCAGGATGACACTTTCGGTGAAGCTTTCACTGCAGGGTTTTTACCAACATGAGTTCATTTCTGAAGGACAATTAGACTGTGGCTTATTAAGGAATATTTAATTCAGCCTCTCTGTGGTGCCTGTTCCATCTTTCTCTTATTTGTAATAAACACAATCAAATAAAGAAAATGCTCAGGGAAATTAGAGGAATCAGAGGTAGGATGTAACAAGGGAAGAAGCAAAGACTCAGAGGGAGGGGGAAAACAAAACAAAACAATTTGTGGCCCATGGAAATGTACAGCTTGAACAGAAAGTCTTTAAATCTCTTCACGGAGAGGAAAGCCAATGACCAGCCTGGATAAGCCAAGTCACTCCAGTACCCAGAAACCCTTAATTGCTGGAGGAGATGCCCACCAGACAGGGAATCGGCCCATCACAAGATGATGGTCCTCCACACCTAATCCCAGAATATTCCAACAAAACCCCAACACTGGTTTCACTGGCCACCAGTTAGCCACCAAGCTAAGGTCGCTTTCATTCACATGGCAGTTTATTCTGTTTTCACAATTTTTTTTTGTAACCCTTAAGTTCCACCTCACATTTGAGCTTTCCCATGCTGTAAAAGGCACTTCTGGAACTATAGTGGAACATAGTGCAAATTTAGTACTCATTTTCATGTTACTTGCTTCCAGGAGAAAAAAAAGAGGTTTTCAAATTATCTGAAAATGAATGCTGAACTTACACTATATTCCACCATAGTTCTGGGCCTTTATATCGTGTGAAAGCTCAGACAGAATGTGGAAATCAACTGTAAAGGGAAAGTTGTAAGAATGGAATGAACTGCCACATAGATGTGGCCTGAATCAAAGGTTCTGGCCGTGGTGCACAAAGTCCTACACAGCTTTGGCCCCGAAACCTTAAAAAAGAACCTCACCCCTTATATACCCAACCAATCACTGTGTCCTGCAGGAGGGCTATTCAGGATGATATGTAGGAACCAGACACCTATCCTTTGCAATCCTTTCCCATTGCACATCAGTCAGGCCCTGTCTCTCTTATCTTCTTGGATCCTATAAAAAACCTTTGTTTGTGATGCAGTCTTTTTAACTGAAGGTGTTTACCCTGGTCTGTGACTGTACAGTCATACCTCGGGTGAAACAGCTTCGGGATAAGTATTTTTGGGTTGCGCGCTGCAGCGACCCGGAAGTAATGGAGCGCGTTATTTCTGGGTTTCGCCACTCGCGCATGCACAGATTGTCAAAATGACGTCCCACGCATGCACAGAAGCGGTGAATCGCGACCCGCGCACATGCAGATGCGCGGACATGGGTTGCATTCGCTTCTGGATGCGAACGGGGCTCCGGAACGGATCTTGTTCGCATCCAGAAATACCACTGTATTGGACTTGACATAGTGAATCACTTTGGGATGGTTCACGGGAAGCAATTTGTAAGTGAAAGAAAGAAATATACCTCTCATGCTGTATGACATGCCTGCGCTGGGGGACAGAAAGCCCCAGGAACAGAGAGAGTCTTCTGCTTTTTTCCGAGCAGCTGGAAGTTTTGCGTTACAGCCTGCTCTGCTAACCTACTGTTTAAAGGTAAAAATTGCATCAATTGCTCCACCCACTTTTGCTTCAGGCTCTGCCCACTACTGGCATGTGGACCCAGGAAGTCTTCCCTCAGGATTGAAAAGGTTCTGCATCACTATCATGGGTAGACCTTGTCCGGAACTATCTGAGGTTGCTGTACAGGAAAGAGGCTTGTTCGTCATTATTATTTTCTTAACGCTTTGTTCTCAGAACCCCATGCCTGACCAGGGCTTGCAAACGTTTAAAAGTCCCCCTCCCCCACCCCACTCTGCAGTAGTGATTGCTGATCAATGGAGCCTGCAGCCATCAAGCAAGAAAAAGTGGGGGAAGCTTCCTTCCCTTTAGCAGCAGAGACAGCAAGCTGCACTCTCAAAAAAATAAATCAGACCAAAAAGGGCAAGAGAGCTCACTAACAAATTAGACTACACCAGTCCTGTAAACTCTTCCTTGCCCTGCTGCGAGGAGATAAGCTAAAAAAACACACCCAGAGTTCGTTATAACTAGCAGTATTTTGTCCCACCTCATAAAAATTTGACACAGTTGGAGGTGAACTAATTGAGACAGTGTGGAGATAACGGCATCGAAGGGATTTCAAATGTAATTAAAGAGTGATCAGGAAAAGGGGCCAGGCATGGAAAGAAGAATGCTGAGAGCTAGGAGAGCACATAAAGGTTCAAAGCCCATTCCAAAAGTGACCTTTAATAAGAACGAACAAGTGCACATTAAACTGAAGCAAAAAGGCCCTTAAACGCTTTGATGGAGAAAGTCCACACAATCATCAGCTCAGGAAGAATGAAAATGTGAAAACTCTTAATATGGGTTCTTAATGCTTCAACCTTTTATGGGATATTGAACTGACTCAAGGGTTGCTGAACCTGTTGCAGCATCTAGGGTTGGGGGAAGAAATTCTATTAAGTCTGCATTTAAAGGTGAAATTACTTAATTTGCACTTTCTGGAACAGAATGCAAACACAGCGGCACTTTGACATTTCTCCAAATTTTGCAATGCTGTTTTCCGGCCAAGTAATGCGTACAAAAATAATGGTACCTCCAGTTGCGAACGGGATCCATTCCAGAGGTCCGGTCGGATCCCGAGGAATTTGCAACTGGAGGTGCCTGTTCTGCGCATGCACATGGCACGGTAGAGTGCTTCTGTGCATGCGTGTGGTCGCAGAAGCGTGCTACCGCGCCATGTGCATGCACACAGTGTGTAGAGCACTTCTGCGCATGCGCACGTGGCGAAACCCAGAAAAATACTTCCAGGTTTGCCGTGTGCATAACCCGAAGGATACGCAACCAGAGGTGTGCTTATCCAGAGGTACCACTGTACAAGGGTAAAGTGTGCATAAAACACAGCTATTAGTGAAAATAGAAGAAAAAATATTACAGAAAAGTGTTTTGCAAAAATGTTTGTATTTGCAAGATTGCATACAAAAATGTGAATATTGGGCGAAATCAATGCTGAAATGCTGGATTTTTGTGAGGACTTTATTGCAAACTAATATGGAAATATGGAGAACTGAACTCAAATACACACACACAAACACAAACACAAACACACACACATTACAAATTGATCCCTCTCTAGAAGTGTTATAAGTATGTAGAGATTTGTTTTATGGAACCAGAGGCAATATGCCTCTGAATACGAGCTGCTGGAGAGTAACTGTGGAACAGGGATCTTGCCTTTGTGTCTTGCACTAAAATGAGACACTTGGCTGGCCACTGAAGGGGGAAAGGATGATGAATTAGGTGCCCCTTCAGCCTGATCCAGCGAGGCCCCACTTACATCAAGAACCTAGGAAGCTGCCTTACACCATATAGAACCACTGGTTCATCTAGCCCAGTACTGGCTACCTTAATGGATAACAGCTTTCCAGGATTTCTATCAGAATTCTCTCTGCTACTGCTACCTGGAGATTCTGGGGGACTGAACCTGGGACCTTCTGCACGCAAAGCAGATACTCTGCCAATGAGCTAAAGCCCTTTCTTGAGCATCACTGGAGGCTGACACCATTTCAACTTTAGCCACCGCTTTTGTGAGGCACAACACAATCATTTGCAATGGATTTGAAAGAGGCAAAATGAAGCACGGTACTTTCTCACAATGCATAACTGAGCTGTGGAAGCCACTGCTATGAAACAAGGTGATAGCCAATGGCTTCTACTGCTTTAAAGGGGGAGGTGACAAATTAATGGAAAAGAACTATTAATAGCAACCAGCTATCATAGCTAAGTGGAACCTTTAATTGGAAAAGCAGTATGCCACCAAAATGCCTGTTGCTGGGAACAAGCACTGCAGGAAAGACAGGTGTCCTCGTTTTGTGAGCTTCCCACAGGCATCTGATTGGCTTCTGTAGGAAACATGGTGTCAGGATTGAGGCTAATTGGTCTGATCCAGCAGCCCAGCTATTATATATTTATACAAAGTCACAAGAAGCTCAGAATTTCAGCCTCATTCTTTTCCACAAGTCACATTCAGCCCTTGGTCTAATTTCATGTGGCCAACAGACCATCACCCTATTTTCAAAAGTGTTTTGCAAGCTATCAGTTCAGATCTCTGGCAAGAATGAGCTGTTCCCTGCCCAGCAATTCTCAGGGCAAGAAGAGGAAGACAGGAAGGAAGTTGGGAAAATGGAGTTATAGAGAGAAGTCCTTTTGGAACAAAGGAATATGCCTTAAGTCAGATCATTGGTCCATCTACTTCAGTACTGTCTGCACCAACTGGCAGCAGCTCTCCAGGGTTTCAGACAGGAGACCCTCCCAGTCCCACCTGCAGAACTTTGGATTGAGCATGGGACCTTCTGCATGCAGATTCCCCACCACTGAGCTATGGTCTTTTCCATAATTGGCACCACCCATCACTAGGGGACGCGGGTGGCGCTGTGGGTTAAACCACAGAGTCTAGGACTTGCCGATCAGAAGGTCGGCGGTTCGAATCCCCGCAACGGGGTGAGCTCCCATTGCTCGGTCCCTGTTCCTGCCAACCTAGCAGTTCGAAAGCACGTCAAAGTGCAAGTAGATATATAGGTACTGCTCCGGCGGAAAGGAGCAGTCAAAGTGCAAAGCACGTCAAAGAGCGTGTAAATAAATAGGTACCGCTCTGGCGGGAAGGTAAATGGCATTTCCGTGTGCTGCTCTGGTTCGCCAGAAGTGGCTTAGTCATGCTGGCCACATGACCCGGAAGCTGTACGCCGGATCCCTTGGCCAATAAAGCGAGATGAGCGCCGCAACCCCAGAGTTGGCCACGACTGGACCTAATGGTCAGGGGTCCGTTTACCTTTAACAAAGTACAGTTCCTAGGATTCTTTTGGAGAAGACATGCCTGTTTAAGGGATATGATGCTAATTTAAATGTATAGTGCCATTGGGGTCTGACCAGTGTTGTCTTTTCTGGAGTGTCTGGCCTTCTGTGATTTAAAGAAGCATTTCCGCCATCACCTACTGATACCTGATCATTTTAAACTGAAGAGTCAAGAAACTGGGAGCAAATGAAACTGCCTTGTGCTAGATCAGACTATTCGTCCTTGCAGTTCACTTGTTTATTGGCCCTCTGGGGTCTCAGGCCTTTCCAGTCATCTGCTTCAAAATCCATTTTTCACCAGAGATGCCAGGAATTTTCCCAGGCCTTTAAAACTTTTTTTTAATTTTTTTTTTTCAAAAAAAGACTTTTAGATTGGTTTGGGAGTTTGAGATTATTTTTATTATCTACTGCTCAGTTTCCCCCTATTTTTATGTCCTTTTATTTTAAACAATATGTAAATATGGTTCCTAATGAACATCCTAGTGTGGATGCCATTTATCCACACTGGTTTGCCAGTATGTTGCATCACCATTCACATTCCACAGCAACTTGAGCACTCTTCAAGGCTTACTCATGTGTTCAAAGCGGGTGCAGGAAAATGCTTTCCCTCCCCCTCCCTAAATATCACATCACCATTCTAACGCCCCCCAATGATTTCATATTGAGCACAGTTGTCTTAAAGGGATTGGGGCACCCAATTCCATGTGGTTCCCAGTTGTCTGATGTTTCTAGTTATGCTCAACAAATGTCTACATATGAAATATGGGTGGTATCCAACTCCCTTGTCCTATCAGTGCAAGGATTTATGCTTGTGCAATGGGACTTTCACCCTCTCCTCTCCCCCCAACCATGCATGCTCTGCACCCTCCCCAGTTCTGTTATGGAGGGTAGCAGGGGATTTAAAGAGGGCACAGAGAGAGGAGAGGGAGGAAAGACCCATTGTGCACATTGAAATTTTTGCACGGTTGGGACAGCCACTTAGCACTACACTGGATGAAAGCCTATGTACTTCCACTTGCCAGGCAGGTGATACAGTTTGTGCCTTCAACTAAACATGGTGGTCTTAAGCAAGTAGCTCTCACATTTTCAGCACTACTGTGATGCATTTAGGTACATTACACTTTGGTACATTGAATTCTTAGTCTTCAGCCTTGTAGTTTATTAACGTTTTTCAGAGCTTTGTATGGATTAGAAGAAATCTCTGTTAATCTCTTGTGCCACATCAATTGTGGTGATGGGAAAACAGATTTGTTTAGACTTCTTGATTGAATGGAGTAATATTGCTAACAAACAAATATGCATATCTCAATATAATTTTATGGCAGCTTCAGAGGAATTTCAGGGCATAATATGTCTTTCATTTTTAATGCACAATAAATTTTTGAACAGGAAAGAAGAAGAGTAAATAATATAGTTCCTTTGCGCAAATACTACATTATCTAGATAAATAGGAGCTATAAAGGAAAAAAAAGAGAAACAGTAAATGCAATGGCACTGATAAATGCAGATCAATCACAATATGGGGGGGGGGGTGGAGAGGAAGAGATAACAGTTCAATATAAATAGAATCTTTCCAGTTGGGGCTGTTGCTTTGTACGTTTGCTGAAATTCATATAATAATCACAATGTTTTGTATTTTCTTACTGTGTTCCACAAACTTTTATTGCAAATTTGTTAGCTAAGATTGTGAAGAACCTTTTATTCACAGAGGCAAATCAAGTAAACTGTGACTCCTTTTTTTAATAGACCAAGCTGTAGTTATATATATAATTTAAAAAAAAGGTAAAGGAGAGAATTGATGTTTGGTCAAAGCTACCAAAAGCACATAATTGCAGGAATTGTTTGAAGTAGGTTGGTGAGATACAAATGAAAAATTGTATCCACAAATCAGTGTCATCTTTCCCTAAAAGCAGGGATGGGCAACCTTTTTTCCCCTCCGTGGGGGTGGTAATCTGTTGAGGGCTGCTTACCAGGTGTTGATGGGACTGAAACTAGTGATAAAAGGTAAAGGTAAAGGGACCCCTGACCATTAAGTCCAGTCGTGGCCGACTCTGGGGTTGCAGCGCTCATCTCACTTTACTGGCTGAGGGAGCCGGCATACGGCTTCCGGGTCATGTGGCCAGCATGACTAAGCCACTTCTGGCAAACCAGAGCAGCGCACGGAAATGCCGTTTACCTTCCCGCTGGAGCGGTACCTATTTATTTACTTGCACTTTGACGTGCTTTCAAACTGCTAGGTTGGCAGGAGAAGGGACCGAGCAATGGGAGCTCACCCCGTCGCGGGGCTTCGAACCGCCAACCTTCTGATTGGCAAGTCCTAGGCTCTGTGGTTTAACCCACAGTGCCAGGAAGCCACTATTCCCTTCACAGAGCTGCAATTCCCAGAGTTCTGGTGCTAGGCTGTTTGGTGCTTCAAACATCAAAGTAAGCACCTGTAATTGATCCTGGAAAACAACTGGGAAGTCAGTACAGCTGACAGATCTATGACTACTGTCTATACCAGGAATCAGAGACCTGTATCTCTCAAAATCTTTTTTGGGACTCCCATTGGCCATGCTGGTGAGGGCTTGTAAGAGTTGGAGTCCAATAATGTCTTAAAGAACACTGGTTCCTTACCAGTGTTCCTTACTGCATGATGAGTTTAGCTTTTGCTGTTGAAAAACTAATTCTAATTTTGGATTTCCAGAGCTGTTTAACAACCAATCCTTCTTCTCAGGGAACTCTGGGAATCGTGGCTCTGGGAGGGGAATAGGGAGTCTCCTAACAACTCTCAGCACCCTTAACCAACTATGGATTTCAGGATTCTTTGGGGGAAGCCATAGCTGTTTAAAGTGGTAAAATATAGCTTTAAATGTATAGTCTGGATGGGGCCTCAGACTTGGTAAAAGGAAACTTTGATACACTCCTAAGCAAGCCAAAAAAGCTCTGAATGGTCATAAATAAACCAGCAGTCACTGCTGTTCTGCTAAATGTTAGGATTTTATACAAAATAGATTACAAGGTTGCCTTTCTGGAAATATCACAAGGAACTAAATTTTTTAAAAGGGAACTCGCTAATCAGATGTTAACAAAATGTTAGTCTTTGAAGGGGAAAAAGCCTTACATACGTTGCCTCTAATTCACTTTAAATGTTTAAAGAACTCTTCAGCATTCACTTTGATCAGCAAGCAACCTCACCTCCCCCATCCCTTAGGGTGGGGGAAAACAAAACAAACCTCAAAGCATGACCTCACTGAATATGTACATGCTGGTCCTACCTATATAGGGATATAGGAAGCTGCTTTTTACTGTGTTAGACTGATGGTCCATCTAGCTCAGTACTGTCTACACTGTCTGGCAGCAGCTGTCCAGGATTTCAGGCAGGGTTCACTCCCGGCCCCACCTGGAGATACCAGGGACTGAACCTGGGATCTTCTGCCTGCAAAGCAGATGCTCTACCACTGAGATATGTCCTATACCTAACAGAATGATGCTGCATTAATCAACACTTTATTGTTTTGTGGGGCACATCTCTTTTGCTAAATTTGTACCTGCCTGGGTGCTAAGATCCTCAGGTGAGCACCTTCCCAACAACATCAGAAGCACGACTGATGGTGACACAATTCCCTCCCAAAAGAGGTCAGACTGGCTCCCTCCTTGTTATCCTTCTGCCAGCAGGCTAAGACCTTCCTGTCCCAACAG